TTCCGCACTTACTTGATCATTTTTCTTCATATCTTTTCTTTCACTTTTCACTAATTGATTTAAATTCCGTTTAGGTTCACTGGTCAATTCACAAGCCCCAAGTTTCTCTTGAGTTATGGGGCCAGGTATATATTTTTTACCCTAATAAAAAATTAGTTATAGATTTTATTAATATAAAAAAAAAGAGTTTTGTGTATACATACATATTGGCCTGATGAATTAATTTCATCTTTATAGAAATCTTTACCAAGAGAATTTTGTCTCCAATGATATTCATCATCAACTTGCCTATAAAATACCAATAAACAATAAACACATATTATCGCTCATATTATATAAAACTTACACATTATCTTTTTCAATATCTTCTGGAGTTTCTAAAGAATCTCTAGAATGATATTTTGATACTTTTGTAAATTCTTTTTTGTCAACATCATAATTATCATCAATGGATTTCTTTAAATTACCTCCAGAATCCTATAATAAATAATGTTTGATACATTAAATACAATTAAGTACAACAAAATATTGAAAATACACACATTTCTTTTGAAATCACGCCTGTGATCGTAATTCTTTCTATTGTCATCCCCTCTAGAAGTATAATCACTATGTGCATATTTATCATTTTTGTCTTTAGAATCTGAACGAACCTTTTCTCTTCTGTATCTATTTAAAAATGAGTTACAACCAAATTATCATGTTTTCTTATACAATACTTTTAAATGTTACCATTATTTGTTTTTTTTTTTTCATTAATGATTTTAACACAATATACATAATTTAAACATTATTGTTACTTATTTCAAAAATTCATTAACAACCAAACATTAATGACAAAATTATCATTATAACATACCTATCAAATTCTGTTCGTTTATCTCGTTTCAAAGTTGATGACTTATTTGTATGATCATCTTCAACCCATGAATCACTTCTATACTCGGAATAACCACTACTACTCATATCACTATCAGTACGACAAAGTGTATTAATACTTTCTAAAAAATAACAAACTGTTAAATAAGAAACTCAAAATTGAAATACAATTAATTTACTTGTAGAAGAAACATTTTGAGCTTTATTACTGACGTCATTATTTTGTTCAAATTGTTTTTGCAGTCTTGAAGGTAAATATTTATTATTAATTTCTTTATTGTCATTGCTTTCATCATATTTATCTTTTGATAAATCAGATCTGCATACTGAGGAATCGTCTATGAATTCTTTATCCTGCAACAACAATTAGCCACCATCAAAAAAAAAAAAAAAAACTTTATGACTTTATTAATAATATATCATAAGAAAGTAATCCTACATTTTATATAAATACAAATTACCATCACTCAAAATACTACAATCTGTTTTAAGCTTCTGAGTGAAATGATGAATGTACATTTTGCAATGTAAAACACACTTAACTTTTCTGGTTAGAAAGTGTATTTAGTTGGGTCATTGAGGAATTTCAATTTAAAATTTCYCTGTAGTTTTCAAAATACAGGGAAAAACAAAAACAAATTAAGAAAAATAGGAATTTTTACGTAACATCAATTTTAGAGAAATTTGAATGTTGGTATTGGTATAACTAAAAAAAATGCCTTAGACACATAAGATTTTCACTAAATGTTTGTACTGAAATTTTATACACATAATACAATTTTAAAAATATTTTAATTCTTKTGAAGTTATTTATAGACATTTGAAATTTTCGATCTTTTTAGTTTTAGATTCTGAACGGAGTGATGAATGTATTGATTTTACAATGATGTGTGTTTTTTTTGTGTCTGTGTACAGCATAACTAGTCGAAAAAATGCTTGAATTTCAAACTT